CCCACCCCCCACCCGCCCCCCGTCACTGCGCCTTTCTGAACACTGTGCCCTCACAGGGCAGCCGCATCCTGGTTTACACTCGGCATCACCCCTGAGCCCACAGCCAGCCGGGAAAAGACCCAAAGGCCGGAGAGGGAATGGGAAAGCGAGGGCATCCTCCTTCAGGAGATCCACAGTGCAAAGAGGAAAAGGACGGTGTGCTCCAAACATCTTTACGAAGGAGTACACATCAGTCCCCTGACAAGAATAACGGGATTCGGTGGCTGGCAGAGGACCAAGTGGCAGAATAAGGCAGGGGCTGACCTGCCTACATTTCGAAGGCTGTTCACTGGCATTTTGATCCTCTTAGTGAGAAACGATGATTTCATCATGAGCCGAGGAAAATCAGCTCTACTTCCTTATCAGCTTAGAGCTAGATTAGTGGCAAGTTAACTTCTAAGGGCCATAATTAATAAGTGTGACCTTTTTCATAATTCATAAATCTCCTAAGAGCTGAAGCTCTTGCGAGACAAAACCAAGATTCACATGATCTCCAGGCAAAGCGAGGGAGAGTGGGTGGGATCTCGTTAACTGTAGCAGTGTTAATAACAGTAATGCGGGTGGGTAGTAATAGCAGTCATCACAGTAGCATCAACAGAAGCGACTCAATATAGCAGGAGCTACTGAAGATATTTATTGTGCCTACGACGTGCCAGTCACGGTGATGGCCGCTAGCCAGGGATGGCCTCGTGTGCTATCACACAAAAGAAATGATGACGTAGGTGACTTTTTTATGCCCCTTTTATTTACAGGAGCCCTGCTGGTGTGGTGGTCACGTGTTGGGCTGCGATCCATGTCGTCAGTTGGAAACCACCAATAGCTCCGAGGGAAAATTTGGGCTTTCTACTTCCGTAAACAGCTATTGTCTCGGAAACCCACAGGAGGGTCACTAGGGGTCAGTGAGTTTTATAGATAAGGAAGCAGAGCCATAAAGAGCTTCAGGAACTTGCTTAAGCTAACAGAGCTCGTTAAGTGGTGCCCTGAAAATCTCAAGGAGTCTCTGGGCAGGGCAAGCGGTCAATGAGGCGGGGTGCCAACTGGACGGATGGTGTCCAATCCCAAAGCTGCTGAAAAGGAAGGTCTGGCAGACATCACCTGAAAGCCCTGTGAAGCACAGCTCTACTCTGACAGCAAGAGGGGCGACGGGGTAGGGTCAACTCCATCGCAAGCAGTTACTACGGAGCATTTTAATCTAGCCAGCTGATCCCAGAGCCTACACTGCTAGCAAGTGGACAATCACGGGGCAGAGGGGTGTGGGGGAATGGCATGAGCATGAGCAGGCTCCTGTTTTGTTCAGCTATCATCGTGTGTCTCTCCAAACTGTCCCGATTGTGGGACAAAGGCCAAACCCGTAGCGGGAAAGAACGACATCAGTGGAAAGGCATTTCACGTCATCATCTTGGGGAGGAAATGCAACATCTGTGACTGTGTAAGAAAGAGCCACCCACCCGGGGAAGATTTGGCGATGAATCGAGAATGGGCAGAGACGGATTATTCCCGAAGCCGCTGATTGGACAAGGAGCGCCCACCTGCTCTCCAAGGGACACTGAGCCATGTCTGGAGTTGTTCTAAGAAGAGGTTTACACAAGGTTCGCCTGCTGAGTTGACTGTGGGTACTGAATCATTTTTTACACAGCCCACACTTCAAAGAGGCATACATTAAGCAGTCTTCTCAAACCCGCTGCCATCGAGTTAAATCTGACTCATAATAACCCGACAGGCAAGAGTAGAACTGCCCCTATGGGTTTCTAATATTGTAACTCTTTACAGGAGTAGAAAGTCTCGTCTTTCTCCTAAGGAGCAGCTGGTGGTTCTGAACTGCTGACCTTGCGGTTAGCATCCCTATACATAACCACGATGCCACCAGGGCTCCTTAACTAGTCCAATTCCCACTTAATTATGCTTCCACTTCTATATGTCTATGTGTCATATACATACATTTTCCCCTCCCCGTTTCTTAAAAAAAAAAGTGGTGCATACATTGTTCTCCACTTTATTCAATCCATTTAACCATGTATCCTAAAGTCTTTTTTCAAGTCAGTGATTAGAGAGCTTCTCATTCTCCTTTGCAGCTAGGAGGTGTTCCAGTGAGCATGGGCCATCTGTTCACCACCAGACACTCGAGTGGTTGCCAGACGTTTGCTATCACAAACAATAAATAACCTCTATGCACGCCGGGCAGGCCTCTGCAGGGAAGTGACCACCAAGGTAAATGTGGAACAACTAGCTCTCCGTCCATAAGGCCCAGATGGTAGTATCTGCCCACCTCCACGGTGTCACGGTGCCCACCACGGCTGATCCAGGCTCCCCGCGTGAATCCACGGAACACAGACTTGGGGAAACACATACACACGCAGATCTTGAGTGGTCCCAGGCCACCACTGGGTGGCTGTGTCAAACGGTAAGTGTGCCTGCAGGTCTGACGGCGTATCAGCTTTCACCCTTCTGCCCTACTGCCACCAAGAAATGAAGATGTCCAGGAGACCTGGTGGCACTGTTGGGTAAGCACTGCAGTGCTAGCCACAAGGTCAGCGGTGCTAACCCTCCAAACTCGGCGAGGCTTGTTGGCTCCCAGAAACCCGATATAGGAGCATTGCCGGAAGTTGGCATCTCGACTCCATGGCAGTTGGTTTGGTGTTCAGTTTTGTGTCTTAGTGCCTTACCAGTAGCATGCCGTCAATTTTGAGGGGGGCCCGTGAGAAACGGCATTTCAATGACATTGTAATCAGAAACCTGTTTTGTCCATGCCTGAGGGGGAGGTTTTCATGTGAGGCCCACTTTCCTTTCTTTCCCACTTGCTTCCTGTTCCTGTCCAGCAGTCCGTCCTCCGTGGGCGGGAAGAGCAGCACCCTGCACCTTCATGTGTCTGTTGTAACAGCCCTGCTAAGCAGGAGTGGATCCAGGTGTCACGGGGCATGAAACTTGGACAATTTGGGGGCGGAGGGAGTAGAGGGCTCGCTTTGAAATTTAGTAAGATACAGAATGGGGTGTACGCATGAGTATTTCTTTAGAATTAAAAAAAAGAAAGGAAGGAAGAAATCATGATCGAGTTACTGTAGCTTAGAGATCCAGGTCCTTTTGTTGGGGAAAAATTTAGACAATGTACTAAATATGCTTATACTTTAAACCTTCCTGCACTCACGGGAGCCAGAAGAGCTTTAAGGGCAGCAGAGGTGCCCAGTGTGTGTCTGCCAGAAAGACGGGCCTTATCGTCACTGGATGAGGAAGCCGAGGCTTGAAGATGCAGCTTGAGACGAAGGCCTGTCTAACTCCAAAGCCTCCAAACCCGCTGATACACGGAATCGCCTGCCACACTGCTCTTAAACAACTACAGCATCTGCGTCAAGCTAGCATTCCAACAAGGAGCCCTGGTGGGGTAGTGGGTTATACTTTGGACTGCTAACCTCAAAGTCAGCAGTTCAAAAACACTAGCCACCCGGGGAGTGGACAGCATCATCCTTGTCAGACAGGTGAGACCGCCTACTCCCATAAAGATTTACAGGTCACTTGTGTATAAATTCAAACAGCAAACCGACTGCCACCCGAGTTGATTACGACCCAGTGACTGATAAAACTCCAAACCCACTGCCCTGGAGGGCAGGGAGACTCATCGAAACCCCGTAGGACAGGGTAGAACTGCCCCTGTGAGCTTCCAAGACTGTAACTCTCTATGGGAGCAGAAAGACCCTCTTTCTCCCATGGTCTGAAGCTGCTGACCTTGCAGTTAGCAGCCAACAAGTAACCTTATGTCCTGCACTTTAATTAATCCACAACCCCATGGCAATCAAAAGTACTGTTCTATAGCCCATAATCCAGGATAAAGTATAGAGATCTGCTTTTTCAGCCCTCCTGGATCATTCCAGTACCCCACCACCACCACACCCCACACCCCCAAATCTCAGGGGCGGGCAGTATTGCCCACTTTGGGAAACACTGCCTTAGATTCTCAGACTCATCGAGAAACCAAATCAGCACCAAGGACTAGGCTTGGCCTTAGACCCTAAGAATCCAAAGCCCCCAAACCTATGCTAGAAAATCGGGTTCTCCCCACCCCCACCCTAACTCAAACACAAGCAGGTTAGACTGACAAAACATTCAGAGCAAATGCCAACCTTCTCCAATGGCAGCCGTGAAAGCCAGGATTCTCCCCAAGGACGTTGCCAGAAGGTGCTGCTAGTACTTAATATATGCAAGCCAGGGGCTTGACCACCAGGCAAAGGGAGGGGCAGTCCCCTACAGGGAAGGACAGACCAACGAAAATGCCTAAATGAAAATGCCTACATCGCCCCTCCTGAGAAGTCCGGATGGCTAGGAGGACTGCTGAGGCCAGCCTCCTCAGGTAGGACAGTAAGTGAGAGCTACCCTGGTTGTGGCTACATCTTACCCTGCAGCCTTTCGGTCCCTATCAGGCAGCAGCAAACTTAGAGGCTCGGAGGGCCAGCACTCTTGTGAGGCATTGTCACTCAGTAAGTACTTCCTGAACCCAACCAAAAAAGCCACATCAGGCCAGAGTTAAGTCCTGGATTTCAAAAGCACACACGCAGCTACCTCTTCAGAAAGAAAAGGCTTTTAAACGGTGGGTACAAAGTTTGGACCTTTCCAGCTCATCACAGAAACTTTTGCAAAAGTGCTTTCTGTGCGGTGATGTGAGATACCACCATGATTCGAGCTGTGAGGGCGAAAGCCTAACAGAACTGAAAGTAAAACTGTTCTCTCCCGAAAGGCTAAGCACTAAAAGGGCAATGGTTTATAGGGCAGACTAACTGGGATTTATCAAACCAGGAACGCGGGTGGAGCTTTAGACCCCACCATTCTGTAAATACCTGCTTTATAAAGTAGGGGCTGAGAGACATTCTGAACACCCATTGCATGCACTTATCATATCCTGGGAATGACTCTACATTCCTTGAAACCGTAAGGCTTCTGTCAACAGGGGAGCAGGGCTGTCTGGATCCGTTTACCTGCTATTTGTACCGAACCATCCTCACCCAAAAGAATATTTCCAGCTTTCAAATCCCTTTTAAAAAGAAAAAGAAGAGAAAAATTAATTGTGGAACGCAGAGAATGCAATACATCGATTCACTCAGGAGGCTTTTAAATAGATCATCTAATACAAGTGTTTGACCTAATTATCATCTTATAAATAGATCACACATTTTAAAATCGTATCACAGGTCTTCAGAGTCACAAGGGGACACGGTGATTTTACAGGGCTCGTTCATGGGTGGGGATGGCGGGGGTTTTACTAACAAATAATTTATGTGAAATTGTTGTTCAGTTTTAATTATATGCCTGGTGAGAAAATTCCTTATTTATGTTACAGTGCTAGAGACTGGCTATAAAATCATGTCACTGTCATTTCATCAAGAATTAAAGCCCAGTGTATGCACAGCTATTCAGCTCCCATTTAAAATCGCCTCTAGGTACAACTCCAAATCAATCTCATCACCTTCCTATATACTGCACTGACCAGTCTCGCCTCTGAAATGTCTTATTATTACTGGGTTGATAAGGATTACAACGCTAATTATACAATAATATACAATGTATAGTGTTATAGCCTTTATTACCTAGATGTGGAGGAACCCTGGTGAGACTGTGGGTTATGATGTTTGGCTGCTAACTGCAAGGTCCGTAGTTCGAAACCACCAGCTAGTCCAAGGGAGAAAAGATGAGGCCTCTGCTCCCATAAAGATCTGAGCCTCAGAAACCACAAGGGCAGTTCGACTCTGTCCTACAGGAATCCACTCTATGGCAGGGAGTCTGGTTTTCTAAACGATACGAAAGTGACCCTGGTTTTTGAGCGCCACCCCCTATGCTTTTTTAGACTGTACATCTTTACTGAAATAGAAAGTCTCATCTTTTTCCTTCAGAGTGGCTGGTGTGTTGGAACTGCCAACCTTACAGTTAGAAAGCCAGTACCTAACTCTCTGCACCACCCAGGTTCCCTTTCAGATACAGGGCTGGTTTCAAAGACCACTGGGGAGACACTTATATCAGTGGAGCACAAACATGTGGAAATCTATTAGGCATGAGTCACCTACTCCATCTCTAACACAGCCTCAGTTTCCCCATCTGTGAAATGGTGATGCAATACCTAACTTTTAAATTTATGATAATGACTTCTATTATAGTAAAGCCAGACTATAACAGAATCAGTACTATGATATTAAAAGATAATAGCATTAAAGTAAAACACTATAATATAATAATACATTAATGGGATGGCAGCAGTACAGGTAAATGATTGCTTACTCTAAACTACTCTTAAGGGCCTAAGTGGCAGCTAACTCCCTTGAAACACCAGGTACCCATGGGGTATGCTGTGTGGCTACTTAAAACAACTAGTCCTTTAAGGCACTAAAGAAAAGAAAATCAGTGCTTCCTCCTGCCCTCCCACCGCCTTGTCAAGAACGTCAAGCTGTCTCCAAGTCTGGACCACTCCCGTGGACCTGACAAACTCAGAGATGCTCTCCAGGACAACTGAGCACCTTGCAAGAGGAGTTCGTTTACCGATTTTTGTTTTGCTACTGAATTCACTCACACTCTTTACATTCTGCCATTCTTATAAAGGAAGTAGATACACCAGCCCTGAGGCTGCCCACAGAATTTGTCACCGTGTACTCCCGGTCTCTTTCCTAGGCACCCCAACCCATCAGTTGATGTGGATCTGCAGCGTGTGTTTGCTTAGCATATCAGCAGCTGAACTCAAACACCCCTGAGAGCACCTACCTGTGGATCTGACCATTTCTGTGCAGATAGTCTAAGCCTTCCAAAACTTCTTTTAAAATGGTTGCTATTATCGCCTCTTCCAGTACGCCATTCTTGTGTTCCCCTCGGTTGACGATGTATTTTATGATATCCAACATCGAACCTACGTGGGCAAACAGAAGACCCCAAAGGGGAATGTGATCTACGCCTCTGTTACTTTTCCAGCACAGAGTTCCACTCTCGGGAAAAGCAAACCAAAAGAATATCAAAAGATGCCTCGGATCTGCTCACGGACCTCAATCAAATATCCCCTAGGCGTATGGGCAATCCCACGGCGGACCTGTTACCGGAGACACTAACCTAAGGTGACCAGATTTAAAGCGGGACACCATTGACTGGGTGGGGGGGGTGGGGTGGGGGCTCTTGATTTAAAATTTGGTCTATATGGACCAAATAGACTGTTCTCTAGCTTGTCATGCATTCTTTCAAAAGATCGGGACTTTTTTAAAACCGCCAAAAATCGGGACTGTCCCACCAAAAGCGGGACGTCTGGTCACCTAACACTAACCCCATGTTTGCCAGAGCACCTTCAGTGTGAATTTCGTGAGAAGGCCTCTGGGTCAGGGAACCAGAGGACACTGCTGAGCCACTTCAGGGTTGGTCCCTTCTTCCCGACTGCAAGTAGTCATAGAATCAGAAGAGGGCTCGAGGTGTCAGAATGGAAAGGGAATGAGTTAGAGGCCAAAAGAAAAGAGCAGGGAACACCTGAGAGGGGAGCAGGGCTCATCCTCAGCACCTAGCACACAGGTGGGCAGGAAAAGGGGTGGGGGGTGTTTTGCCACTTATCTCAGCTTGTAACCAGAAGGTTCCTTTCTGTGACTGCAGGGAACCTTTGTTTCCATGTACCCACGGTGGATGTACTGACTTTTCATACTAAAGAGAGAAAGACTCGGTGCATTGTTACCAAACAGATTAGTATCCTTGGCACTGTGAATTCATGTTTCAACACGTATTAATTAGTATTCCAAACCTCTGGGTCATTGTAAGAGCTGTAATTAGTTGGGGTTCAACATTTCTAAAGCGTGAACAAACAGCTTACCTCAGGACCTGGATGTGGCTCTGGGCTCTCTCTGAATTAACTAAAGAGGACTGAACTTTCCCAACCAATATTGCTATCCCAGGCTAGCTGCCTGCCCTCGTTAGGAGGTTGCAGGTGAGAGACGGATTCATACATAGGACACATAAAAGAAGACAAGCGTTTGTTTATCTTCCTGCTCCAGGAGACTTAAAACTGGCTTTGGGATCATTTAGAAACCAGCGATTCCAAAAACATTTTGTTTTTATCTTATAAAGCTGAGCCGAGCCAGGAGGGTATGCCTTTCTGGCCCAATAAGAGAAAATATGAGCAAGAGTCCCCAGATGCCCACGCTCACCTTACCTGTGGAAACCTGTTTCGTGGTTGATCCTCTTACCTAAAGCCCAGACAATAAACTGGAGTCTTAACAATAAAAAAGACCATGAAATTTTATTATCAGGTTCTCAAAGACGGGAATGGGGATCATCGGAAGCTCAAAAAAAAAAAAAGTGAAAGCTTAATAGAGATGAAAACAGGGAGAGGAGGGCGCATGGAGTAGCTCGGGTTAGTCAGAGCCCCAGAAACCAGAATCGTTTCCTGGGGGTCGGTGAGGCCCCCTAAGCAGCACCGGGCTAAAACCACCTTGTTAGCCACAGCTCCCTTTGCCCAGAAGGCAGGCGCAGGCCGGCCGCTCACAGGACAACGGGACTCTGGCGGGCTTCCTCTGCCTTTCTTTTTTCCCTTTCTCTTTCTTTTCTTTTTAATTAAAAAGGGAAGCAGGCACTCTAGAAAACAATGACTAATCGGAAGGAGCAAGATGGGGACAGAGCAGAATGAAGCTGTCCCAGGCTCCCCCCTGGGAGCCGCACAAGCCAGTTACAATTTGCTCCTCCTCGCTTTGCAGGGCCTCGGCTTGAGCCAAGAGTGTTTCTTTTTATAAAAAGGGAAGGCATTTTTTTGTTTTTAATCATTAAGAGGCCTCCCTGATTGAACCTTAGCTGGAACTGCTTGGCAGATGACAATGCACTCCATCGTGTAACGTGTGGTACGCCACGCTTGGCCTTGCCCGGGCACCACAAAACGCGCCTGCCCTCCTGCACACCAAACTGCCTGTCTCAGAAGGATGCGAGGGGAGTGGCGCCGGGGAATGGGGGTGTGTCTGAGATGGGGGGTGCTAGGGGTGCCTAAGAAAACTGCCTGAGTTTCACAAGCTTTGATCTTCTGGTCTGTAAAAGGAAGGCGGTACCAGCCTGCAGCACGGCACAGTCAAAAGGTCCCCAAGTCACAAACCCTAGCTTAGCTCCGAGTTGTGGCTTTGTTTCTGGTAAATGGGCACGGTGGCATCTACCATTCAAGTGAGCTGTCGAGATTAAATGAGAGAAGGTCAGTACATTGCTCTGCACTCTGCTATCTAGCCACAGAGTTCTCTGTGCAGAGTTCTCTGTCTCCTAGTGCGGCCAAAGGATGCAAAGAAATCAGATAAGGCATATGCATGCATATGATAAATGGAGTTGTCCGATGGGTTTGTCCATGGCTTTTGGAACCTCATTGATCAAAGGCTAGAGGAGGGAAGTTATTTTCTGGTCCCAAATAAGAAATTGGTGGGGAAAGAGCTTACCTTCTAATCAACCCTGAAAGGATATAATTTAGCTGGCACTGTTCCAACGGAAGTCAAATGTCCTGAGCACGCAGGGAAGCCAGGTTTGACAAGGGCACTCGGCAGGGCTTTCTCTTAGCAAGTCCACAATCTGAGTCTGCACTCCCCAATACTGACCGCAGCTCCTCGCCACATGAGCCTATTTAAATGTAAGCTAATTGAAACTGCACAGAGATTTAGTCTCTCAGTCCCACCAGCCACATTCCAAAGAGCTCCCCGGTCCTGTGTCAGGTGCCCTGGTGGTGTTGTGGGTTACACACACTGGAGTGCTAAGCACATCAGCAGCAGTTTGAAACCACCAGCCGCTCTGCAAGAGAAAGAGGAGGCTCTCTGCTCCCATAAAGAGTCTTGGAAACCCACAGGGGCGGTTCTACCCTGCCCCATAAGGTCTCTATGAGTCGGTGGGCCTGCTCCCTGCTGCTGGGAACAATGGACAGGCAAAGTTCACATCCTACTGATAATGGTCTCTATCAGTTGAGCCAGGAACAAGCCAAATTGGCTCTGTGACATCCAAAGTTAAACTGCCATCCTAAATCTAGGATCTGCCCATCGTGTCACATGTATACCCCCAATCCCTCCTCTTCCTATTGCGTGTATGTCCCCAGACCTCCCCCTCTCATTACTGTGTAACCTATAGTGCAACCCCTTCCTGTGACGTACGTCTTTCCCTGTAATGAGTGGGCTTGCACGCCCCCAAAAGGTATATAGGCCTGGGTCAGCAATAGAGCTCTCGCTTGCAGGGCTCTCACTGGTCCCGCTCGCCTCTCTTCCTCCTCTCCTCTCCCATCCTCTCTCCCTTGTTCCCTTTCCTATCCTCCTTCCCTTCCCCCTCTCTCCACATGGACCACCAAGCAGGGCTGAGGTGAGCAATGCTACCATGAAATGTTTCTGACTGCATTATTGTAATACCTCTCTTCTACCTCTCATGCCTCTAATACCTCTCTTCTACCTCTCATGACTTTAATATAATATATATACGTCTCAACCATACAATTGTGCATTACTGAACCCGTGGGTAGTAGTAGCGGTGGGGGCTGGCCCCCCACCCTCCACCTTCCTCAAAACTTAATACTACGAGCTATAGAAATTTCCATCATCACAAAAAAAGCTCATTTCAAAGGCACTGGAATAGTTCATTCTTCTCCGGTTGTGGGATATAAAGGACTTGAATAACATTCAAAACAAAGGGTTTAATTGACAGCAAAAATGCAAACCGATTATACCAGTGTTCACTGCGGCACTCGTCAAAATCGGCAAACGGTGACAATGGTCTAAAGGCCCCTCGGTAGAGAAGTGGATGAGCCAAACGTGGTGACTATTACTCCATCACAAGGAGAAGCCCAGCCCTGATGCCGGTAGCCAGGGTGGATCTTGGAAATCTTACACTGAGCGAAATAAGACACTCCCAAAGGCCAGCTATTTCATGATCCCACAGGTATGAAATATGGAATAAAGACAAGTGTATAGAGACCAAACCACTGAGCAGTGGTTACCAGGGAAGAGAGGGAAAAGGAAGACTCATTGCTTAGGGGACACCGAGTTTCCACTAAGATTGAGGGAAACTGGGGGGAATGTGCAACATTAATGGTTAAACAGCGTGGCAAACATACCTCGAAGGACCACATGCCTAGAAGACTACTGAAATGGAATATGCTTTGTTGTTTCTCGGTCTACAATTTTAAAACATATGGGAAGGGGTGGGGTTAAGAGCAAGGACTGGTTAACTCTTTGGAAGAGAAGCAGGGATAAATGCCGAGAGGATGCATCCTTTGAGGCTTTAAGGATAGGGAAAAGAGTGGGCAGAGCCATCTTGGGCTTAGGAACAACACAGAAGAGGGGCCGGAGGCACCAATGTGCATACGGGGTTTCGGGAGCCTCCCTGACACCAGGACAGCTGGGCTATTTCATACCTGGAGAAGAGGTCCCAGGGATTCTATGAAGTTCAGTTGAATGGTGGAAGGCTTTGAAGGCTAATGAGAAGATAACCAGGATTCGTTCCACGGGCAGTGATCAGGCAGTGAGACTTTTAAGGCAGGAGGGGACCCAATTCCAAGCCTTATTCAGCATGCTGCTCCCACAAGAGGTCACAGACAAGCAAAGCAACATCAACAGCAAAATGCACTTACCTCCACTTAGCAATTTCATAACCAGCCAAAGTTCGTCTTTCACCACAAAAGAGGTGTAATAGGTCACTACGTTGGGGTGGCTGCACTGACTCATGGCTTGAATTTCTTTCTATAAAGAGAACAAAACACGACATAGTACCATGGGGTGAAAAGTGCGACGCAAACCACAAGGGAGACACCGTAGGAGTACATGGGTATCTTGTTGGTCTAAATCATCACTTCACAAGCATTCTATCCTAAGCATTCACTCACCTTCACCAACTTGGCTAGAATTAAAACGTCTTCCACCAGGCAACACAGCACCCTGTGGACCAGCTACAGAGCAGAGGAACCTGAGATCAGCCTATCGCCCAGAAAGCACCCCCACCCCACCCCACCCCTCCCTCGGCCTCTTCCAACAAAGACCACTGCCATATATGCCTAAGTAACTCCTACCTAAACTGAAACATAGTGTTTCCAAGTCGGGCTGCTAAGTACAAGGTTAGCTGTTCGAAACCACTAGCCACTCCACGGAAGACAGACAGGGCTTTCTGGTCCCGTGAAGTGTCACAGAAAGTGTCTCAGAAATTCACAGGGGCAGTTCTACCCTGCCCTGTCTGTGGGGTCACTATGAGCTGGCATCAGTTCCATGGCAGTGACGAAGCTGTAGATGAGTAAACTGAACTGAGGGGCAGACAGAGAAAGGCTGGTTGAGTTACTGGGTCCTGACTCTGGAGGGTCTTAGTTCCTCCCTCGTCTAAAAGGGGTCAACAAAATTGTTCCTGCTTCTCAGGACTACTATCACAGTAAATGAGAAAATGAACATGAAAACACCGGAGCCTCATTTCCCACACTCCCTTCCACGGTGGCTAGACCACGATGGAGAGGGCAGAGAAAAATAAGTTTGAGACCATCACATACGACAGCTTCTTCTCTACGCGTCTCGGGAGCCTTCGTCCTAGTTTAGACTCTGAGAAGCTTTGGGATAAATAGACCACATCTTTCTGTAACTAGCAGATTCCTATTGCACTTGGTTGGTTGGTTGGTTGGTTGGTTGGTTGGGGCTGCTGTTATGTCAAGTAATGGACAGAAAATTCCGACAAAGCTTCCGTGGAATGCTAGCCCTCAATCAGAGCTATCAGCCCAGCCTATCAGACCACAACTCACTCTCAAGGTGCTGCCCAAACCCCACAAGGGCAATCTAACTCAGCAAAGACACCTCACCGGGCTACTGCACATTTATAATCCTTCAGCATATACTGTATATTTATGCATCGTTTAAATATGGTCTGCAACAATGAGCGGCCAGTTTTTCTGCGTTAATGAGGGCTCAGCTGCCCAGGCGATTGCAAGTAGGGTTGCCACCTTCACGTGTCAAAAACCCCCAAAAACTCACCGGCATCAAGTCAATGTCGACTCATAGTGACCCTATAGGACAGGACAGAAGTGCCCCCTGAGGGCTTCTGAGATTGTAACCTTGATGGGACTAGAAAGCTTCATCTTTCTCCCTCAGACCCTGGTGATTTCAAACCCATAACCTCTCTGCTGGCCACCCGACAGGGAACCACAATGCCACGGGCCTCTTTTGATATGTCCAGTACGACCTACTACCTCATCTGCCAGTTCCCAAGAAGAAGGCCCTCTATTTAAAGAGAACTTGGTCAAACTACTTTAACATGCAACAAGGAAAGGAATTTTTTTTTTAAGAGAGAGACAGTGAGAGACGAGTGCCTTTTCCCAAGAATAAACTTCCGTCACCACTGAGAAACCCACTGCTTCTTCTATCCTCATTACATACAAGCATTTTTCCTTCACTGTTCCCTCCTCCACACGACTGGTTACAGGTTTCTTTTTCTCTGACACAGTTCGACTCAGCAGCTCCTGTCCATTAACCAAGGCCTGAAACACGAGGTCCCGTTTCCATCTGTTTCGGTGTTGGGTGTTGATACCACAAGATACTTCTGAAGGGAAACTGGAACGCTGCCCGGACCATTTCTATCTCCAGTCCCTGGCCCTTGCTCACTGTGGGGATGGCCCACTTTGGAGATCCGCGGCATTAAGGCAGAGCCCACCTTAAACAGATGCCCCATTGCTCACGGAGCGGGGAGCAAGGTCCTTGAATGCGGGGCTGCTGCGAGCTCTCACCATGTCATGTTCAATGTCTGCGGGCGCTTCTCTAGCCTTACTAGCGGCTGTCACACAGGACTCCAAGGGCATCACGAACAGCCGGAGGTTCGTCTGAAAGGAAATTCTCCTGAACTGGCGCATGACTGGGTCAGAGGCTGGGAAAACATGTTTTCTAGCCCTCGGCACTTAGGGGACCGCTATCGCTTCCTATCTGAGCTGCTGGTTCTTGGACACTGCAGTGGGGACAGGGTCCAAGGGAGGAGGTGGGTGGAGCGGGGGAGAGGGAGAAAAAAGCCACTCCTTTAGATTATCTAGGAGTAGGCCTAGTCAAATGGTACTCCTGTAAATCTTGGAAGTACCAGCTAAACATTTAAACGTTCTGAGGGTCTTCTGGAAAAAGAAAAAAAAATGGAGGTACAGCTGCTATAGCTCCACAGGGAGGGCAAATCAGAGAGGGGCTAGGAGGGGCGAAAATGGATTTACATCTATCTGTCTTCTAAATTCCAAACATTTAATTACACAAAAATCAAAGTAGCATATCTCCACAATGAGTAAAAATCCCAAATGAAGTCTTCTTTGTCTGACACCTTACCCTGCCTTAGTTATAAAGACCAAACCCACTCAGGTCCTAATATCATTTACATTTAAGTCTTAGGAGGTCTTCTTTCTAACTTCATTCAGAAGCAGTGGCTCTTAACCTTGACTGTACGCTAAAATCATCCAGGGAGCTTTAGAAAAGGCGTGTGCCGGGGTTTTTATCCCCAGAGGCACTGATATGAATTGGTTTAGGATGCAGCCTAGGCTGGAGAATTTTCAAAAGCTCCTGGGTGATTCTCATGTGCAGCCAAGATTGAGAAGCGCTGTTTTCCAACTAAGCAGGGAGATTCATTATTCCGTCGATGAAATTGTGAGAGAAACTGCTAGCCCCCTGGGCACAATTCCACACTCTAACCCAATTTAGAAGAAAAATACATACACACATACATACATACATAGATCCACACACACAAATATAAGGGCAAGTCACAAAGGATCGCCATACAAATCCCAGAAACCTGCATTAAATTAAACTATCAAAACGCGAACCTACTGTTCCTCTCATCACATCACCTTCCTCTACCTCTACGCTGCTGAAGCAGCACCCCCATCGCTCTAAGCCCATCTCCACAGAAGGCCGTGCGCTGCGACAGCCATCCTGGTGGCACTGCCATCTGGGCATCCTCGTGGGACTCGGAGCATGCTCCTGTGAAATGTCCTTGGAGTCGGGGGAACAAAAAGACGTCTGAAGGGTGGCTGGGGTGGTAAGACTCCCAGTGAAATTCTCGTAGGACAGCCCCCTGGCAACCGTTTTTGAACGAGCAGCTCCAGCATGGTGGGAGGAAAGAGAGCATCCTCTGGCCAACTTGGCTGGCCTTTTTCTCCCCAGTTGTCAGTTCTCTTAATCCTTCTTCCAAATATGGCCCTGTGACTACCCTGAGTCCTCTGAGATCAGTCAGGAGTTCCAAAAAGCAGTACGAAGTCTTCTGACCTGATCTCTCTGCCTAAAATTTAACTGGCCTAATAGATCCCGGGAAGCCACTGTTTTGATTGGACCTAGTTCTCTGGATCATATGGGTAAATCCAAGACTGATCCCTGGTTATGATTCTTTCCGTAAAGCTGTCTTCATCAGCTTGGGTCTCATTTAAAAGACTTGAGGAAAGGTCAGCTCTGTGAACGGGCTCATCTTCGTGCGACCTTTTTGGCTCCTATAATTTAGCTGAAATCTTGTTGCAAGCAAGATAGTCACTTAAAATTGAAAATGTCGAACCACGTGAGGTTCCAATTTTAGTACCTGTGGCACCTATGGTCATTCTGCCTTCTTCAGCAACCAATTTCTGTAGCTCAGCCAGCTCCTTCGTCTGTCAAAGATGATGGTCCTCCTTGTCGCGGGTCATCTGTAAGGTCTTCCCATCATTCCGTAACACACTGGATTCAGCTAAAAACGGCTGCTTTGTGTGGAATAGCATGCCCATACATGCGTTGTGAAGTTTCAATGATTTGATTTGAAGTTTCAACATCTGCTTCGGTTTTGTCAAAATCACTTTTCCCAATGGCACAAAAGTATCTTCTCTTTTTTTTTGGGGGGGGCCACTCTAATGAGTCTAAAATAGAGTATATCACTCTATTACTGAGTACACTCAGTCTATTACTACCAATCACAGTCGAGACATGTTTGAGCATGCTTTGTTTGAAATACACCTGTACATATATGAACCAAAACTCTAATAGCAATACTTTTGACATACCCTCATGTGTGTGAGGTATGTGTGTGAATATCTGCTAATAATCCTCTGTGTGTCCACTTATAACCTACTGTGTGTGTCCACTTACAATCCACTGTGTGTGTGTCCACTTGTAATCCACTGTGTGTGTGTCCACTTGTAATCCACTGTGTGTGTCCATTTGTAATCCACTGTGTGTGTGTCCACTTGTAATCCACTGTGTGTGTGTCCATTTGTAATCCACTGTGTGTGTGTCCACTTATAATCCACTGTGTGTGTCCACTTATAATCCACTGTGTGTGTCCACTTATAATCCACTGTGTGTGTCCACTTGTAATCCACTGTGTGTGTGTCTACCTGCAGTCCACTGTGTGTGTGTCTACTGTCGTGGAGTAGATTCCATTGCATATCAACCCTACAGTAGAGAACAGAACTGACCTACAGAGTGTCCAAGTGTTAAAGATGAAGCAGACTGCCACTTCTTTCTCCCAAAGACTAGCTGGTGGGCTGGAACGGCCAGCTCTTCAGTTAGCAGCTGAATGTTCAACCATCACACAAATAAGGCTCTTCTTTCTGTATGCATGTATGTATATATATATACATATATGTCTACCTATACACAGATGCATGATTTGATGTACAGACAGACAGATATATAGATATACACGTCAAGCCATGTGAGATCCCGACTTTAGTAGGTATTACATCAATGCCATATCTACCTTCTTCATCCACCAGTTT